CACATAATCCGAGAAGCTGGACTGTATGAAGAAAAACGTGGCATCAGGATTGGAGGAAGAATCATTAACAACCTGAGATACGCAGACGATACAATTTTGCTTGCTGAAAGTGAGGATGACTTGCACTTACTGACGAAGGTTGAAGAATACAGTCTGCAGTATGGATTACATCTCAATATAAAGAAAACAAAAATCCTCACAACTGGACCAATGAGCAGCATCACAATCAATGGAGAGAAGATTGAGGTTGTCAAAGAATTCATGTTGCTTGGTTCTACAATCGATGCCAATGGAAGCAGCAGTCAGGACATTAGATGACGTGTAGCATTGGGAAGGTCAACTGCGAAGGAACTGTTTCAAGTGCTGAGGAGCAAGGATGTCTCCTTGAGGACTAAGGTGCGCCTGACAGAAGCCCTGATATTTCCAATCACCCCGTATGCATGTGAGAGCTGGACAATGAATAAGGAAGACTGAAGAAGAGTTGATGCTTTTGAGTTGTGGTGCTGGCAAAGAATGCTGAAAGTACCATGGACAACTAAAAAAACTAACAGATCTGTCCTGGAGGAAGTACACCCGAAATACTCCTTGGAAGCGAGAATGGCCAGACTTCATCTCACCTATTTTGGTCATGTTGTAAGAAGGGACCATTCCCTGGAGAATGATGTCATGCTTGGTAGGGTGGAGGGTCGATGAAAGAGGGGGAGGCCTTCAACAAGATGGATTGACACGGTGGCTGTGATGATGGGCTCAAGTATAGCAGGGATCATGGAGCTGGTTCGGGATCGGGCAGTGTTTCATTCTGCTGTGCATGGGATCGCTATGAGTCCGAAATGACTCAACGGCACCTAACAACAACAACATAAGCAAAATATTGAATGATGCAGGAAGTATCAAAAGAAGATGGAAGGAGTACAGAGGCATGGTTCCAAAAAGAATTGGTCAACATTCAGTCATTTCAGGAGGTAGCAGATGATCAAAATCCAAAGGTATTGGAAGAAGAAGTCCAAACTGCAGTGACGGAACTGGTGAAAAATGAGGCTCCAGGAATTGATGGAATACCCATTGAGATGTTTCAGCAAATGGATGCAGCACTGGAGGCAGTTACTCATTTATGCCAATCAATTTGGAAGACAGCTACCTCGCCAGGCAACTGAAAAAGATCTGTATTTGTGTTCATTCCAAAGACAGGTGACCCAACAGAATATGGAAATTACCGAACAATATCAATAATTCACACACAAGTAAAATCTTCAAATATGGTTGCTGCATTATATTGACAGGGAACTTCCAGAAATTCACACTGGATTCAGAAGAGGACATGGAACGAGGGATATATCATTACTAATGGCAGATGGATCTTAGCTGAAAGCAAAGAATACCAGAAAGATATCTACCTGTGGTCTGTTGACTATGCAAATGTGTTCCACTATGTGAATCATAACAAATTATGGGTAAGATTTTGAAAAATGGTGTTCTGGTTACTTAGTGCCGCTCTGACAAGAAATATACCACAAATGGGATGGACTCAACAAACAGGAGTTTATTCTTACAATTTGAAGGCTTTAAGTCCAAGTTCAAAGTGCCAGGCTCTAGGGGCTGGGTGAAAGACCCTCAACCTTGGGGTCCAGCTCTGCCTCCTACTCCTGGCCCACTGGGGCTAGAGGCATTTCTTCATTCAGACAGCTGCTGGCTGCTGAGACTGAGAAATCCCAAGGTTAAAAAGGCACAGTCCCGATATCACCGCATGGCAGGCCATTGACTTAAGTCCATGGTAAGTCCCAAGGCTGGCAGAGCATAGCAGGCTGCTGAGCAATGACACAGCTACATGCAAGGTCCAAGCATGCCATAGGCTAGATTCCCAAAGGCTTCTCCTTATATACAGGAAGCAGACCACATACCCAAAGGCAGCTACCCAGCTGCTTGTGATAGATCCCACCATGGAGTTGATTGCCAGTCTCCTCATGGGGATTAACTACCACCAGCTGCCCAGCCACTCAACCAGGCCCAGCCAAGTTGACACACAAACCAAGCTACTGCAAATGGCGATTCCAGAACACTTAATTGTGCTCATGCAGAACCTGTACGTAGACCAGGAGGCTGTCATTCAAACAAAATGTGGGGATACTGCATAGTTTTAACCCAGGAACGGTGTAAGTCTGGGTTGTATCCTTTCACCATACTTATTCAATCTGTATGCTGAGCAAATAATACAAGAAGCTGGACTATATGAATAATGTGGCATCAGGATTGGAGGAAGAATCATTTAACAACATGTGATATGCAGATGTCTCATCCTTTCTTTCTGAAAGTCAAGATTACTTAAAACACGTACTGATGAAGATCAAAGATGACAGTCTTTAGTATAGATTTCACCTCAACAAAAAGAAATAAAAAATCCACACAACTGGACCAAAGAGCAACATCATGATAAATGGAGAACAGATTAAAGTTGCCAAAGATTTCATTTTACTTGGATCCACAGACAACACCCATGGAAGCAGCAGTCAGGAAATCAAACAGCGTATTGCACTGGGAAAATCTGCTGCAAAACACCTCTTTAAGGTGTTAAGAAGCGAAGATATTACCTTGAAGACTAAGGTGCGCCTGAACCAAGCCAGAATATTTTTAATTGCCTCATATGCATGTGAAAAGGAGCTCTAGTGGCATAGTGCCTAAGGCACTTGACTGCTAACCAGAAGGCTGGCGGTTCAAACCCACCAGCCACTCCTTGGAAGGAAGGAAAGTTGGGCAATCTACTTCCATAGTGATACTGCTTCAGCAACCCAAGGAGGGGTCGCTATGAGTTGGGTCCGACTTGATGGCACATAACAACAACAACAATGCATGGGAAAGCTGGTCAATGAATAAGGAAGACTGAATAAAAATTGATGCCTTTGAATTGTGCTGTTGGTGAAGGGAACTGAAAATACCATGGTCTGCCAGAAGAATGAACAAATTGCCCTGAAGGAAGTGCATCCGAAATGCTCCTTGGAAGCGAGAATGACCAGACTTCTCACCTACTTTGGTCATGTCAGAATGGACCATTCCCTAGAGAAGGATATCATGATTGGTAAAATAGAGGGTCAGTGAAGAAGGGAAACACCTTCTATGAGATAGAATGACACAGTGGCTGCAACAGTGGGCTCAAGCATAACAAATACTGTGAGGATGGTGCAAGACCTGGCAGTGTTTTGCTCCATTGTACATTGGGTCACTATGAGTTGGAGCCAACTTGATGGCACCTAACAACAACATCAAAATCAAATGCTTTAACACAGGTGGTGGCATGACAGAAATTTAAAATATTCAATATTAAAACTCTCACAAACACTGAAACATTTTTCTTTTGTTTTTTATAATTACAATTTGAATTTTTGAATTTTAATGTAACAGTTTAAATGAATTCAGTATATATTGTCATCCAGTTGGTCCCAACTCATAGCATCCCCTCCTTGGGTTTCGGAGGCAGTATCTCTATGGAAGTAGATTGCCCAATCATCCTTCCGAGGAGTGGCTGGTGGGTTTCAACCACTAGCCTTCTGGTTAGCAGTCAGATGTTTTAAGCACTACATCACCAGAGCTCCCATGTATTTTTTATTGGAATACTATTCTGTATTTCTTACTACATCAAATTAATAACAATATTATTATCATTTTAAGTCTGTTAAAATATGATGATTGTTGTGATAATTTGGTGGAGAATTAACATTCATTAAGTGCCATGTGAATATGTGTGTGTGAAGAGGTGTTATATTCTTACATGAATTTATTGATTTCAAATAAGCTTTGCCTTAAAAAAGAAACAACGAATAGACTACAATGAAATGAACATCATCCATTAATGTACTTAAAATTAAGTACAAGAAACAGGAGAGAAATATAATTGGTGAAAGTCTTAGAAATTAGATTTTGAAAGGATATTTAAAAATGATAATTTTTTTTTTGTTTGAAGAACAGGTCTATGGGAAAGGTATTAGAGTACACGGGGCAGAACTAGAGCCAGTGAGTTAAGGTTAAAGGGAAACTTTTCAGTGTGATATAAGACAAAACTTTCTCAAATACAGCGTACCAAAATGGAAGCAGCTTTTGTGTAAGGGAGTAAAGTTCTGGTTCCTGGAAGTGCTCAGGCAGATACTGCATAATTATCTCCCTGGGACGTTTTAATGGAGATCTTGCCTTGAATGAGAAATTGAAATGGAAGGTTTCTTCCAGCTTCAAAATCTATTGCAAGTCCCTGTGAAATGTTTCCATGTGGTGTGTATATCTCTTATATATATATAGTTGTTAGGTACTGTTGAGTCAGATTTTCGACTCATAGCAACCCTATGTGACAGAGTAGAACTTCCTCATAGGCTTTTCTTGGCTGTAATCTTTACAGGAACAGATTGCCAGGTCTGTCTTCTGTGGAGCTGCTAGATGGGTTTAAACTGACAACTTCTGAGTTAGCAGCTGAGTGCTTAACCATTGTGCCACTAGGGTTCACTCATCACCCCTTCTGTGCTTTGGGTTTTGTCTGTCTTACTTCATTGTGAGCTTCACATAATTCTGGTACATCCATAGATGAAATCCAATGGAGCCATTAAAAGTAACTATGGAATTCTACATTTACTGATATTGGAAGATGCCCATAATATACTTTTCATTGCATAAAACAAGTATCAAAATTAATATTGATTGTGTGGCAAGATATTTTTAAACAACAGCAAAGGTAAAGCTTTGTCATATTACCTAGATGCTATGGATTACTCAAAAGTGGCGAAGGTATTAATTAACACTTACTAGAAAAAGGGGAAACATTAATAAATGAAAAAGGGGAATAAAACTTTTACTTGTTGAATGCCTACTATGTGCAGCAGGTACTGTACTAAGTGTTTTTTGTTATCTCATTTAATACACTTAGTTTTTCACTGCTTGATTTGGAATTCATGAGAAGTTATATTTCTTAAAATGATGAATTCTTCATCTATGTTTTCTTATGTTTTGTTGGTGATGCAACACAGGATGGTTCTGATGGCTACATGTGTAAAACATATTTTCAAATTAAAAACGGAACTGCGGGGTCACATCTAGGAACATCTGCTGATGCACAGACATGCCTTTCCACTGAGGTGAGTAGTTTAACATGTCATTTTCTCCTTTTAGTCTTTGTAAGGTATAAATTTTTAAAATTAAATTTGTTAAAAATTTATTTATTTAAAAAAGCCTCTGTTTCATCCAGACCTACTATAGAGAGAGATGTGCATATCATTTGTAAGGTTATGTATTCTATAATGTTGAAAGAAGGAATTGTGGTAAAGTTAAAATCCATTGAGTCTATGCAGATTGTAGTGAGTTGTCTCCCTTTTGGTATTTCTTGGATCAGAAAACCACAGATGTCTTCCATTGACCATTGTTTTTTCTCTATGAGAATCCTCTCAAAACAATATTTATCCATAGGCTGATTAATGCATGACTGGAGACCTCTGCCTGTTCTGCCTTTAGCCATTTTCTCTATCTGTTTTAATAGGCTGCATCTGGGTCTTATTCTTTAGGAGGTTTTAACCTTGCCTTGGAAATCTTGCTAAATGGAATTTTATTAAGGTGCTAATAGCTTAGTAGGAGCTCTGGTGGCATAGTGCCTAAGGCATTTGACTGCTAACCAGAAGGCTGGCAGTTCAAACCCACCAGCCACTACTCAGAAGGAAGGTTGGGCAATCTACTTCCACAGTGACACATCTTTGGAAACCCAAGGAGGGGTCGCTATGAGTCGAAATCAACTTGATGGCATATTACAACAGCAACAACAGTGGGTTAGTGATTTTCCTATCCTGGAATATCTTCAGTTTTCTTATTATCAAAGTGTCTTATTGTTTTTCTATTATAAAATTATAAACTCAAACTCACTGCCACATAGTGCTTAAGGCATTTGACTGCTAACCAGAAGGCTGGCGGTTCAAACCCACCAGCCAGTCCTGGGAAGGAAGGTTGGGCAATCTACTTCTGTAGTTATACCACCTAGGAAACCCAAGGAGGGGTCACTATGAGTCAGATCCGACTCCATCGAAATGAATTTGGTTTGGTTTGGAAACTCACTGCCGTAGAGTCGAATCTGACCCATAGCGACCCCTAGTTGGGTTGCCAAGGTGGTATCACTAATGAAGTAGATTGTCCAAATCATAGACAAATGTATAAAAAATGATAAAGTCTTCCATACTTACTTCAACTAGAGGTAACTGCTCTTAGTATTTTGGTAAATATCCTTTCATACATTTCTATCATACACACATTTGCATACTAATTTTTCTCAATCAACAATATATTATCGACATCTTTCTGTATCAGTAAATGTAGAAGTCCATAGTTATTTTTAACGGTTCCATTGCATTTTATCTATGGATGCACAACAATTAGGTGATGCCTATACTGAAGTAAGTAAGCTGAAACAACAACAACAAAAAACAGTTGCCATCAAGTTGATGAAGTTGATTCTGACTCATGGTGATCCATGTCTTGCAGAGTAGAACTGGGCTCCATAGGGCTTTCATGGCTGTGACCTTCAGAAGCATACCACCAGGCCTTTCTTCTCAGGTGCCCCTAGTTAGATTTGAACTGCCAGCTTTTTGGTTAGCAGCTAAGCATTTAATTTTTTGTACCACCCAGGGACTCCTGAAGGAAGATACTCCAATTTGTAAACAGAATTTGTGGTACCTAATTGATTCAACACAAAGAAAGAAATCACTAATTGTTAGAATTCTGAGCATCTTGGTAAAATGGGAGAAGAGACTTTTTGGTGAAGGAAAAGCTCTTCCTCAAGACTCATTTGGCAACTAAGCATTAATCCTCTCTGCCTGTGTGTGATGCTGACCTGGAAGTAACACTTTCCAATATAATTTGGCTTGCAAGTTATTTGTGAGAGTACTATGCTTGCTAATAAGTAATTGCCCCTGGATGGATGCTTGAATCTCGATTTCTGTTTCATGGTTCCAATAACCAATATCAAATCTGAAACCAAGAATCTTAGGGAGCTTTTCAGTTTATAACATTATTAATTTAAAAATGCACATAGAAATGATAATTTAAAAGATGAAATACCAGTTTTTGTCTTACAATTTGGCAAAGATTTAAATTACTAAGAAGTGGTACTGAGAGTATGAGTTTTAATTTCACAAAGTTTTAAGATGTGTATTTACTCTGAACAATCCATTCTAATTCAAGCAACTTATTCTCATGAAGTATACATTTTTCTAACATTTTAATATGAAAATTTTAAAACATATGGAAAAGTTGAAAGAATTTTACAGTAAACATCCAAATACTTACCACCTGGATTCTACTATTAACATTTTGCTGTGCTTGTTTTATTATTTATCTATGCCTCTGTCTATCCATCAATACATCTAATTTTTTAATGCAATACTTTTATATCCAAGTATATGACAAATACTCATAAAATAACTAGAAATTTGCATAAATATTTATCTGCAAGTATATTCATTTCTCCATTATTTGTTATATAAAAATGAAAGCAACTAAAATGTACAACAGTAGTGGATTGATTAAATAAGGGCACATATCCATGATGGATGCAGTCATTAACTATTGACTTTCAGGTAACTATTTAATTATATGAGTTAAATGTTCATGTTAAGTGACAAAAGCAGGTTATGTAGCATAAACAATAGTATCCAAGGATAGTTAACAACTTTGAACTATCTTTTGGCTATTATGATTTTAAATCATTATTCTTTCTTTTTTGTTTATCTCTCCAAAGAGGGAAACCCTTAACTCTTTTTTCTCACCTCCTTGAAATCCTTGGGATCAGTTTTGCTTGGTTCAGTGATTTCATTTGGACTCCCTATCCATTCTTGTAAGCTTTCTTTAATATCATGGCTCTAATGCTCATCTCATTCTGTCCCTTTACAAATAACAGAGGAAGATTTAAAGTTCAGGGAAAGACAGTCTAGTATCCCATCTCAGTGTATTGCCAAGCTTTTTTGTCACCTACATAGCACCAACAGTATTATTAAGAGATTATTATTATATAGATATGGACATATTTACCTGAGTTTTATATATAGCCTAAAAATGATTTTCCCCTTTTTAATCAGGTAAGATTTTCTTAGCTGTCTTCCCCGCCCCACCCCCCCTTGCCAGGATATTTTATTCTCATTCTTTTCAGGGAATTGCCTTAAAAGTACCTTCCTTTATTTCTCTTTTTCAGTATTCCTTAGACTTGTAGTTATTGTTCAAAGCCAGACAACTCCTTTTGACTGTAAACTCCATGGAAGTAATGAAACTCAATAAATACCTGTTATTTGATTAAACCTTCAGATTTAGTTTCTCTAGAACACTTGAAGGATCATATACCTCTGTATTTTGATATAAACAGGATTATCAAGTCAGTTATCTAGAAATGACTGAATTCTAAAATAGTTTATTTCCCATTGGGTAAAATATCGTTTTCAGCAATCAGTGTATGTAGAAAAATTAACAATGTTTAAAAGAGAAATTTGCAGTGGATTTTTAGTAGCTTATGTTTATAGACTAGTCATATAGGAGTGGAATCTGAGGATAAGCCCTTGGTCTTCTAGTTAACTTCCAGTGTTTTATTTATAATCATTATTTGGTGACTCATAGTAAATTTAGACTGCCCATTTTCTGGGAAGTTTTTATTTAGATTATAGCAATAGCACAATTGGAAGAATGTTAAACTTGCCCTCAGAAGTTCTGTTTTGTGATCTTATTATCTCAGCCACATACTTACTAGCAGTGTAACCTTAAGTAAATCTCAGTTTTCTCATCCAAAATACTGACCCTACTTACTTGCTTATTTTAAGTTGGATTTAATAAACATAATGCTATTATTATTAATAATTTAACACACGCAATTATCTTTTTTACGGACATGCTGTAATTATGCAGTGAGGCATTGGTTCCATGCTGGAGACCCAGGTTCAATTCCTGGCCAGTGGACCTCCTGTGCAGCTACCACCTGTCCATCAGTGAAGACTTGCAAGTTGCTTTGATGCTGAATGGGTTTTAGCAGAGCTTCCAAACTAAGACACACTAGGAGAAAAGGCCTGCTGATATACTTCCCCAAACTGGCCAGTGAAACCCTTATGGATCATAATAATCCAATTCACAACTGATCGTGAGGATGGCATGGGATCATGCAGGGTTTAGTTCTGATACTCTTAGGGTCACAGTGAGTTGGGGATGACTCAGTAGCAACTAACAGCATGATTATGCAAGTAAAAGCTGGGGTGTGAATGGAGAACCAAGAAGGAAATAGAGATTCTATAACACTTCATCTAATCATATTCTATTCCTGCCTTCTAGAAGTTGGAATTAGCCTTCTAGTTGAAAAATAGCAGTTATTTCAACCACTTCTATCTCAGACAGGGGATACAGAGACAACAGAGAATGATCTTATTTTAAAAATAATAGAACACTAATTAAGGCATTGTAAAGCATTTCTTTACAACTGCATATGTAATATCTCAGTTTCCTAGATCAATAATTGGGCAGGCAAAGTCTCTTTAAGTTTTTTTCCCCCTTCATCATAGATTTGTACATCATTTTTATTTATTTAGTGGTATGTTTATAGGTATGATGGTTTGAATTTGTAGCTTTTTATTTTTAAATATCTCAGAAAAACATTTTGCCTTAATTAGTAGTATTCCTATTTATGACATCAGTAGAAAATATGACAAATTAGATACACATGTAGGTGGAATGTAATTAGATGGAGAACAGTTATATACTGTTTGTCTCAGAAATGCAATAGACTGCTGGCATTTTAAAAGTACAGTGTTTAAACAGATTTCATGAAGAGGATTGCTTGTACTCATGACAGACAGATGAACTCAAGGAATGTAATCCTAATTTGTAAAAATTATGAAATATAGCTAAGTGTATTTATAGGATACTTACTGCCATCAAGTCAGATCCAACTCACAGAGACCCCTCCTTGGGTTTCCGAGGCAGTATCACTACGGAAGTAGATTGTCCAACCTTCCTTCCTAAGAGTGGCTGGTGGATTTGAACTGCTAGCCTTCTGGTTAGTAGTCAAAATGCCTTAGGCACTGCATCACCAGAGCTTCCATGTATAGGATCTGTCAAGTGTGAA